TGTTTTAATTAAGTGACAATGACACACTACTAAACCCAAGTGAGCTATCTATAAGAGAGTGGATATAGTGGAGTGCATTAAACTTATGTATTAGTTATATATTAGAAAGGAATTCATAGAGAAGCGTTTACAATATGGAGATTCATCTATTTAACCGATTCTAGTGGGATCGATCTTCTACATTTTCAAAACCAAAACCTGTATACTTTATTCTATAGACGGGGCTTAGCGTAGTTATTCCGATATGATAGGTTTATGAAGACATGTTAAAATGAGCATACTATTTTACTTTCTCTTGTAGAAGAGAACACAAAAAGATATACAAATTAACTTTAAAAAATGACATTCTTAATTAAAACCTTATAACGCAGAGTATTTTGAAATTGTAACTAGGGTGACTATGTGATGATAGGCAATAATGTGTAATGCAATTTGTCCAGCTACATTTTACATTACTGACTATCATGAAATGGATTTGTCCAGCGACTATCATGAAATGGAAATAATGTAAAATGTAGCTGGACAAATCAATTTCATGATAGTCAGTAATGTAAAATGTAGCTGGTCAAATCCATTTCATGATAGTCAGTAATGTAAAATGTAGCTGGACAAATCCATTTCATGATAGTCAGTAATGTAAAATTTGGCTGGACAAATCCATTTCATGATAGTCAGTAATGTAAAATGTAGCTGGACAAATCCATTTCATGATAGTCAGTAATGTAAAATGTAGCTGGGCAAAACTGTTTGATAATAAGTCGCATTATAAGCAGTACAAGGGGTGCAAACAGAATTAATCTTATCCATTGAAGTTTTGTACAGGAATACCAGTATAACAGGTTAATGACCAATGATAAAATAAGAGGGCTTGTCTTTAACCAGAGTGACAATGAAAGAATGCACTGTGAAATTAAAGTAGTTGCCAAAACATAAAAAATAAAATAGTTTTCTTGAATAGCAGTTGTACTATTTGGTGTAAAGTATTTCGATATGAATAGCTTCACCATTTACAAAGAATGGTTTGTCTAAAGGCGTTGAAATTATAAGAAGAGACTTTAACGGGTTTTTGTAATAATATGGATTGTCCTCGTACTTTTTATGTTTTTTTTTTACGTAAGTTTAATCTTGGCAGATAGAAAACTATAAGTAATATGTTTACGATAAGTAAAACACCGTATGATATATGCTTTGATTTGTAGAAGACTATGCTGTATATATTTTGATATGTCAAATACCACCGCAGTATGATATACAAAAATTACAAATAGCAATTTTGTTTAGTTGCCAAATCTTTCCTTTATATCTCTGTATCGGCAGCAATTTTGTTTAGTTGCCAAATCTTTCCTTTATATCTTTGTATCGGCAGCAATTTTGTTTAGTTGCCAAATCTTTCCTTTATATCTTTGTATCGGCAGCAATTTTGTATAGTTGCCAAATCTTTCCTTTATATCTTTGTATCGGCAGCAATTTTGTTTAGTTGCCAAATCTTTCCTTTATATCTCTGTATCGGCAGCAATTTTGTTTAGTTGCCAAATCTTTCCTTTATATCTTTGTATCGGCAGCAATTTTGTTTAGTTGCCAAATCTTTCCTTTATATCTTTGTATCGGCTCACGAGTCTGATATAGATTAGCCTTTTTTTTTCGGGAGGTGGAGGGGTGGGGTGGCGAAAACACTTACTTATTGTAGTGATAACACATCTTCAAACTTTACATAACTAATATAAAGTAACGAAGCTTAGATCAAAAACACGTGTAAAAAGGATAAATGACTGGTATGAAATTGAGATTTTTTCTAACTATTCAACACTTAGAACTAGTGACCAAGAGGGAGGGGGAGCAGAACCTACTTAGTGAACTACATGGCTACTCGTCACTTGATAACAGCTGAAAGTGTGGAACGTGTTCAGAGGCGTATCATGGACTCGAACTTTGGACTTTCAAGTAAGCTGCCCGGCACGTTAACCGATTGGCTATAGCCGGTGGATCAGAAAGTGATAGTTAATGATATGAGTGAGTTAATAAATAATAGATCCAATTAGATAGCCAGATAGATAAAAACTTGAGGTAAAAAGGGGAGAATAAATATATAATAAAAAAGATAAACAGTGAAATAGATAATCGAATAAATATGACTTATATATATGTATATACATACAGTTCTTAACAAAAGCAACGACTTTACAAAGAGGTTGAAAACACACGTTTCACAGCTACTGAACTTGGCAGACAAATATCAGACGATCAAATTACAGTACGAACATTCAGTATGAAAACAAGAACGTTATATTGTGTACTGAGAAAACTGTGAAACGTAACTATTCTAAAGGCTTTTAAAAATCGATTCAATGAGAATGAACAACACTCAGTCTAAAAATTCTAAAACAAAAGACTAAAAATTCTACTATAATTCTGGAATTATATTCACTTTTAAGTGTCTAAATATATCAAAATATGTATTGTATAACTTGCCCATTATCGTAAAAAAGTAATTTATGACATTTTCACAAAACAAGTCCTGACCAAACAAAGAAAAGTTTCACATTCTCAATCCATGATAGCATTTTTAACGGTTTTTATTTATTTATGTCTTTACATTTTTTCTATGGTTATATGGATCATGACTGGCTGAATTTGATGTTTGAATGTCTCTTCTCTCCCTCTGTTTTTTTTTTTTCCAATTCGATTAGGTAACGTGGGTTGTGTGGTTTTACAACCTTCTCCCCAAATACTAAAACATGTATTTATGACTCTCGCAGAAAATGGGCCACACACATATATATATATTTTTAACTTGCCAATAGCTACATACAAATAAAAGTTTTAAAATATACAGTCAGATAGAGAAAAAGGCACGAGGAGTATTGATTTACTTAGCTAACGCCCAGAGTTACCAAAGATTAGGGAATTATCCAAACACTAAAAAATATAGACGATTTTATGTAACAGGGGTGGCAACTCCTAAGTCGAACACTTTGATTTATCTTCTCTTTGTCAACCGATACCACTTCTTTCCACACCTCAGTTAAAGTCACGAGGTTCTGAATATTTTTACGCAGATCGTACATTCCAGTAACGAAGCCAGCTTGTCTCTATAAATATACAATAAAACTTGATCTGCTGACAATGTATATACGAACTTCTACTTAAATCTTAAAATAGTAACTTTCGTTAACACACACACACATGTATACAGAAAGATTACAACGTTCCATTCACGTTTGTCTTTGTTTTTGCATCTGGTAGTCACGATATTATCTGTTTACTGTGCAAATGTAAGGAGTTCATACGATTGAAATTTAACAACATGTTTTAAACATATGTTTATAATAATAATACACGTCGACAGGCGAACAAACTTTGTTTTCTGTTTCATTACAACTGGGCTTCTGTATTTTTTATGACAGAGCTCGGTCTTTTCTTGGTAATTAAAATGTTTCTAACAGTTCGTGGTCCTCGTGACAGCTTCAAGTACGTGCTTGCATGTTAGGACCGGAGGGAAAAGAGCATGAGTATCCCTAACGTGCTTCAGATTTTCAAATTAACGACAAGATACATGTCATGGATGTGATTGAATTTTAGGCTAATATGTATTAATGATTTATATGAATGTTTTTTTTAATAGCTTGCGTAACAGTAGTTCTCTAACAAAATAGTGACCTCTAAAAATTTAAGATTATAAACCTCTCCTCTGTGTTACAAATTTTGCAGTCCTTATTCTTCCAATAACAGCTTTTATGGAAAGCATTTTTATAGAATGGCCAGTCTCTAATCTGGACGATCTCCGCACGACCTTTTTTTTTGTTTACACGAGAGAGAGAGAGAGTCTTACTCACGCGTTATTCCCTGTTTATATGAAGCGTACTATAAGATTTATTTACTAACTAAGAAAGCATCCAGTAAGAGCACGGACGTGATCCTGCTGCAAAAAGTAGGATTACACTAAGAGGATCGTTGAAAGATGTAGCCTAGTCAGAGAGATCGGAAAGTTCATTTGGACTCTTGTCAGAAAAGCTTTGACATCTATTTATTCTTTGTGTTCGTGTGTCATTACACTGCTTTACTTAGAAACAAAGTCAAACTGAAAATAAAAACTAATTACTTATATAATAAAAGAAAACATCTAAAACATGCACTGTAGTTATTAGAGTAACAAGTCTGCTTTCCATAGTCATACAAAAATACAACGTGATTCTCTTTTTTTTATAAGCTGGTAACACTAAAAACAATAGCTATAATAGAAATCTCAATTATGTCAGTCATAGTAGCTTTTGTTAACTTCTTTTAAAATGATTGTATTCAGCAAACGGCAAATTGCTTTTCCTTCTTTTTATATTGTAATATAAAACATTTGATTCGAACAAAGTCTGAGCAATTCTAATTAGTAATCCAAAAAACGAGTTCCAGTGTTTCATTTACTACTGACAACTTAATTCTGCCGATGAAGTATGTAATTGAAAATTTAGTAAGATTAAAACAAAGTAAAGAATCCTGTTTTGATGATTCTACTTTTTAAATACTAGAGAATTCCTCACGTAACGAATGTCACAATGATTTTATAGCTTGCCTAGTAATGGTAGACTACCTTATATTAAACATTATGTAAGCTGTTCTTTCCGACAATTGCCTGAAAGTGAAAACCTAATTCAAGTCATAGCATTTGGTACAGAGTTGAAATAAATGGTAATATAAACGAATACTGATGCAGTAAGTAAATGTAATTGCACTTATGTGGTTCACAGCGTTGTCTTACTCAAGATGTAGATGGTAGGGATGTTAAAACGTCACTTACTATTCATTACGTCAAAAAAAGAGGCAAATATATTTCATGCTTTTGGCATCATACCAACCTACTGCCTACGGATTCATCAGAGATAACTTATTAAAGTTCTAACGGCAAAAAAAAAAATAAAAAATATAAAAAAATAGAGATTTAGCTTCTAAACTGTATGAAGGTTTGTTACATGCACGTGATATTTGGTATTTTCAACTTGAAAAGCAGATTATGCTAAACGGTTTTGTCAGGGATCACAAGATCCAAGAATAACGTCTCGAATTTAAAACTGCCGATGAGAGAAAGTGAAACCAGTTAGCTGCGCCCGCCGCCTACATTGCTATTGTGAAACTAATAGTGTGCTTAACTGTAAGTTTTATAACGCGTACCTGAAAGTACGACGTATTTTGTTCAGCAGTATAGAAAGTGCTCGAACCTGGAACCTTTCATTTCGCACCCCAGAACATTACCCACTAGGGTTCAGTTATGTGTGAACTATAGTTGTGGTGAGTACTAAAAAAACTTTCATTATTCACCAGGAGCGTAGTCAGAGGTGGGGTGGGAGGGTCAAACAATATTCTAAACAGTCTAAAAGTTTCGTTATCTTATTTGTTTTTCCTTAAATAAACATTTGACTTTCCTGTAAATCACTTAAATTCTTCGTGAAGAAAAGGTCCATATTTTTAAGACCCCCCCCCCCACACACACACACTTTGTAGTGCTAGCTACGCCCCTGAAGTGGTACTATCGAAATGTTATAACATTGTATACATTTGATAATAAGGTCATAGTTATATACTCTGCCACAATAACGATATAATCAACCTCACTGTGTACCTACCCTATCTGTAATCAAAATGACAAACGAGAAACAAACAAATAAGCTAATTAACAAACCTTTTTATGTTTTGCGATTTCTTAATAGTAAAAAAATATATAAAAATGCCATTCTGTATTGTAAAAGTAAAGTTTCAACAGAACAAACTTTGAGTTATGTTTTCTTTGTTACATAGTTTAATTTGAAGATCCACAGAGAGTTTACGTACAATTAGCAAGCGGCCCCTTATTCCGCCAGACAAAGAACCGTGAAACACAATAGGTTTGAATAGCTTTCCATCTGGCTCGCTAGGTGTACTTTTATGCTCTAGCTCTCCATGCACAAAAGGTGAACAAGCAAGTTGTCTGTACTTGTCGACGCCATACGACCCATATGTATGAATGTTTCCAGAATCTCAAAGTGTATTTTCGTCTAGCTGTTTTTGTAGAAAAATAATAATTTTCTGGAAACACCAGAGAAAGATGTGATAAGATAATCGTCAGAAACTGGATAGCAGCAATGATAAATTAACAGCAAACCATTTATGTTTCACATTATCACAGTTTGGTTTCTTGATTATTTGTTTCCTGAAAACATATTCAATTAAAAAACAACAACTTATGTTCTGTGTATATGAGTATATTCTAAATTATAATTGTTCGGGTTTATTTTTACTTCTTTTTGAAATACTTCGAGTTTTTCCAAAAGTTAAGGTTACTCGTTTCCTGATAGACAAATCACGTGATCTTAAAGCAGCAGAAATCGACTGTACTACTTAAACAAGATTTACTTTTATATAAAAGCTCAACACACTGGCATATTTTTGGATATTTATATCCTGTTGCCCCCCCTCCAGTGGCACAGCCATGTCTGCGAATTTACAACGCTAGAAACCGGGTTTCGATAGCCGTAGTGGGCAGAGCATAGATAGTCCTTTGTGTAGCTTTGTGCTTTAACTACAAACAAACAATACCAACTGTTACGGATTTTTACAAAGCCAAGAATACTATATTTTTACAAATCCAAGAATATTATATTTTTACAGATCAAAGTATATTATATTTTTACAGATCAAAGTATATTACATTTTTACAGACCCAAATATATTATACTATCATTTCAATTGCGTGGTTGAACTTGTTTGTTTTAATAAGTTTTTCATAATCAGGATTATTTTTTTTTTTAGAAATGTGTAACAGCGCAGTTGTTTAAACGTACACTTTTTCCTATGGTGTATTTATTTCCTAATATTTCGACGGGTCAAGGTTGGCCAGTCATTGTGTATAATATTAAAGAAAATGACTTTAATTAACGCACGAGATGTTATCTACTCGCTGAATTTGACGCCATCACAAAGGAAGAGAGAGACAAGCTTGAGGCTATAGACCATTCCAGCGTCAAGGTCATAAGAACTTACTGAGAGAAGGTATTCTAACAACCAATCGTATTTTATCTTTTTCAAAACTTGCCTTTCCATTGGTTGAGCTTCGAGAGCGCCTCACAACCTTACACCGGTTGCCAAGACTGTATCGACCCGTGGTTCGGGGGAACTATATTGATAGCAGCGTTGTAGTTTTACTACCATCCAAGAAACCAGTTTTGCAGATATTTAAAACTTGGGAAAAAATGGGTTTGAACTTTTAGAATGTAAAGTAAAAAAAAAAAAAAAAAATCATAGAAAAGTTACGACATTTAGTTTAAAAACTAACTTGTCAAAGTTTGCTCAGTAAATATTAGCATTGTTGACCTAGCTATACACCAACCCAGTTTATCGACATGTATCAGCCCAGTTTCTTTTCTTCCCACAAAACAGAACGAAACACGTGAATTAACATTTTGCAAGACTGATCGATTAAATTCACAACATTGTCTCACTGCAACATTTTAAAGCCTCCAGAAAGCTACAACCTTCTTCTTGTCTGTGTAAATACATATTCCTCATGTAAACATATCCACTGTTATAATGGCAATTCATACCACGAAGCAACTTTTTTACTAGCCTTTCCCCACATTCTGGGGATTTTCCCTAGAAAGCTTGATTTAAACTAATCCTGTCCTTGCAGTGGAATTTGGTGACACGTAACTTTGATTAACTTCACTAACTTATTCAAGAGATTCTGAAAGTCGAATGTATTTTATAATCGAAGTCTTAATTGTAGAAAGTCACCTTTCACAAATTCAAACAATAAATTAGGCTGAGACTCGCAGGTCACAGAGTGAACAATGCCTATAAATCATTTCTAATAGCAAATTAGAAACCTTGATTAATTGGCAGGAAACCGTAACTGCTTCAGGACGCCCACGATCAGTTTATGTGCTACTACTCGTTTCTGTTGGCATTGGATTATATGAGATGAAAAAAAATATTTAGCCTAGCTTTCTGGAAAACATGATACTTTTTAAGTCCACTATTCCAAATATTGCTATAATATTTATTGAGTTTATTTTGTAGCTTGCCGGTGTCACCAGATGGCACCACATAGTGAGTAGATTCTTTTTCACTATCAAGTTTCGTGTACTCGACCCTAAACTTTCGTTTCAAATATAAAAGAAAATGTTTTGTTAACATTAAAATCATGTACTTTTTTTTCAATTACTTGTTACAGGTACGTTTTATCCTTTATGACAATGACACGTGTATATGATTAAAATACATTAGTTAAGTTTTTGTTGTTTTTTAACTTAGACATACATATTGAGAGGCTAAAAGTTTTTAGCCGGGGTGGCAAGAGTACAGATAGCCCATTGTGTAGCTTTACGCTTAACAACAACCAAACATAACATTTTTATTACGTTTTTAATGAAAAAACACCAGTGACTGAAAAAACTTCCGAAGGAAATATGAAAACGTCAGATTTTAATTTTTTTCACTTCAATCGACACAAATTCAAATCATTTTATTTGGAAGGATTGAAGCTATGAAAATTACATAACAAAGTTCAACTTAATAAAGAACAATTTAAAGTCCCAGAGGCTGTGTTATTTAATTAACGTTCATGATTTAAGCACAGTTCTGAAATGGGATATATTAACAATGCTTGTTTGCTTTTCCAGTCAACGATACATTGCAAGATGTGTATAAATAGCTTTTTCGATGAGACAATAACGATATATTAAGTGTATGTAATCTCAGGTTGACCTTTAACATGTACCGTGACGCATATTGAAATCGTGAAAGTAAGATATAAAAAATTTACCATCACTTACAAAATGAAAGTATCTAGTTTTTATTTATTGTTTGTCTTAAAGTGTTACTCATTCCTTTTAAAACTAACATGGACTACGTTCAATTCGTTTCCCCTCTTAAGCATCGAAAAGGGAGACTCACCTCTAATACAGGGGACAGCAGCCACTTCGCCCTTCCGCCAGAAATTCCATTAAGTTTTCGAATTTCCCTAATTGAATTGAGTTTTTGGCCCAAAATAATAACTCGTTGTAAATAGATATAGATTTTAAAACGAATATGCTAGTGACCAAAAGTCGTTTTGAAGAGATTAATTAAAGTAAAAACTCTAAATTTAGGTAAGTTGGTAATTAAAATTATTTTGTTTTTTACCCTGTTATATCTAGATAGATCCCAATTGTCATTTCAATAATAATAAAAAAATTGCCGAGGTTGAAGGCGGGAGGAGTAAGCCCTGTAATTTTTTCGTCTTTTGCGAGTGCATTTTGACAAAAACTGATTCACTTTTAGTTTTCAGCTTCTTCGAAAAATCACCCATTGGAAAAATGACATGTCATTTAATCGCTCTTGAGTTATTTTGTAACACACTTGATTATTACTTTAAATAAGTTGTGCATTCTTAAGATTAGGTTTACTTATTGGATCACTTGTGCCTACTTACGTTCTTAATGCTGTTTTAGAACCAATCAAAAGTTGAATCATAACAAAGGTCATATAAGGTGAAAGGGTAAAGAAAATTGAATTGTGTCAATATTAACAAAGATCTTGAATCCACCATTCTTAATGTTCTATTACTACATTATCAGGTAGGATAGTCAGAGGGTCATGGTTTAAGAAATTATTCTATTTTATTGCCTTCATTAGTGACGCCACAGACATAAGACAATACATATTAAGAATACTTTACAAAATCATTAGTGACGTCACAGACATAAGACAATACATTCTAAGAGGATTTTACAAAACGATCCAATTTTCGTAAACTATAGAATATTTATTCTTTCTTCACTTGATCGTTAAGTGGTCAGCAAATATAGTTTGTATCATTTTGTTGAACATTTTCAGTCACTGTACTTAAATATTTTTTAGCGATTTTTTATTTTCAAGATTACGTTTCCCAGATGTTGTGGTTAAGGCCACCAAGTTTCGACATGGCTCTGGACGTACTACTTTTCTTGAAACTAATTTTTTGTAACATTAAGATTTGTACCTGTTCTGTATCTTTTGAAGTATTTTTTACATCCGAGATGCTGTTTTAACATTCTATATCAGAGTTTCAAGTAAAGCACGTGATGTTAAGACCCTGGTTTACGGGGTATTTACTTTATTGTTTATGTTTTTTTAACACTTCACACAGTTGATCAATTAAATAGCGAGGCGTTAAAGGGAACGTGGAATAAGGGAGTCGGGCAATTGTAAAAGTAAGCACATGTGTTTGGAATGAATTAAAGAGCGTTACATTCTGGAACAAAGGCACTGCTAGTGGTCTCATTTTCCACGACAAG